GATGAGAGCTATGCAAGTCACTGATGCATAGTCAGCTAATCAGAACTCCGACGTCTTGTTGCCAGAAAAAAATAAAAATAGTTAAAAGAAAAAAAAGTTTGACGTCAGCTAATACGTAATCAATTAATGCAAGTCAACTAATCGGAGTTTGCATGACCCGCCGCTGGGAAAAAAAATTAATAGAAAAAGAAAATGGAATGTCACATGTCAAAGTTAACTAATGTTGAGTGAGCTAACCAGAGTTTCGACCACCCATGCCACAGCTTAAAAAAGTTATTTTTAAATTAATTTATGTTTAAATAAATAAATAAACATTAAAAAAAAGCTTATAACAAAGGAAAGCTTGTGCTTATCCTAAATTATTTGAGTTTATATGAAATGAAACTTACAATAAATGGATTTTACTCAAAAACATGAAGAAAAGATTGAACTTATCCTACATTATGTAAGTTAGTGAGAGGATATCTCAAATAAATCCTTTTCTTAATAGAAGTTCGAGATTGTAGGGACTCACCAAAGGGTGTTAAAAACCATGTGTAGAGTCAATGACGAAAAAGAAGACCAACGACTGAAAGACATCGCATAAGGTATACGATGAAATGGATACGATGAAATGGACGATCACGGTGAAATAATAATAAGAAATTAAAGAGACTACCAATTTTGAAGAAAAAATATTGACAAGTAATGTGGTATAATTTTTCAAGCCAAAGAATAATGTGAGGTGTAATTTAACAACAAACTATATATATGGCAAACATGTGTTATTGAAGAACTTATCAAATAGTAATACAAATTACAAGCCTAAACTTTAAGAGATCATAATCCACAATGCTCAATCAAACATATATACACACTCCCAATTCGAAAAAAACAATGTCCAAATGTACATAAATAATACAAACCATCTCCATGTAAAAATATTGACACAATGTTCCAAGTGTCTCTTGCGGTAGAAAATCTCACGAAGAAAGAACGATGAAGTGGTGGGATAAAATGACAAGTATGACCATCACAAGTAATCCAGTAGTCATCGAGTTCAATCGTGCAACACCGTTTGGTTTTGGAGTATGGGAGGAGTTTCCCTTGTTACCATAGCCTAAGATCAAAAAGTTGAATATGTGCCTTAAAATTAAGTGCAAGAATGGCAAGCTAACTAAATATATGAATAAATTTATAAAGCGACTCACAATTAGATTCTTCCCAACCCAAAACCATCTCCTCACGATCAAAGACTATGTTGTACCCCGTCATAAAATTTTCTGGGGAAGAAGAGATCAAGATATTAATTAATTAATATACAAAAGTTCATGAAAAATCCAGATTAAGATCAATTAAATTCGTCATATATATAGCATGGAAGACGACGTTTATACTTCAACTAGGTGGGCTAATAACATTACAAGAAAAAAATGCATTATTAATTAGCGACACTCTAATTGTGATAAATATAAAAGATTTCACTAAATGCATGCATATAATAGCGACAACATTTTGTTTTTTGTCACTAATATATTGTTGTCACTTAATTCGTGTTTATTGTCACTATACAGAATTAGTGACTGCTGACAAGCACTGCGACAATGATAGGCCGGTTTGAAGGTCGACACACTGAAATTATAGTGATCGCCAACTACTACCATTTTTATTTATAATTTGGAAACAACGCAAATTCTGTCAAACATTCGATCATTTTGATTAGACCAAAAAAAAGGAACTATATTTCAAGATAGGCGAAATTGAATACTGTAATCCAAACAAGACGCTGGAACGTAACTGTAATTTTAGTTAAAAGAATTCAACATGGAATTTTCGGAAAGAAGACGGTATGCAATTTAAGGAAGCAATTCAAAAAGGCGAGTAACTAATCGATTATAATATCGCAATACTCACCTCCGATGATGTTAATATCCTCACTTTTGACGATAGCCAAACAATACATATCTGGATGGCCGCCCTGCATATATACGAATACAAAATAATATTAGCACTTCTTGAAAATAATATATTGACCCTTTAAAACATTAATTAATTCCTCACCTTCAGTGATGTATGCCTAGTTAATGTTGGTAAAACAACAGTAAACTGGCTTCCACCTTTCATCGTCAAGATCAATTTCGGAATGGTATAGCTATATTGAGTTGTTCTGCAGTGAATAGAATTCATGAATGGTGAAAACAATGATTGAAAAAAGTTGTTGCCAAATTAAAAGACCTGATGAGTTTAAAAACTGAAATACAACTGACTTGAGTGCATAGCAATATTCGAAAATAAGTTGAGGCTGAGCGCGCGTCTCGGTTATTAGAGAATCGAACTGCAAATTAAAATAAAAAAAGTACGTCGCGGTTCACAACTTTTGTAGGCTGATTATGAAAATAGCAAAAAGATAATAACATAGCAGCCGAACTTACGGTTTTTACGATAAATGAGTAAGCTGGCTCAGTCAAATACGTAAATGCGATTCCGGAGTCGAAAATTGCTGTGAATTCAATATCAGTGGCGGTATTTCCCACAGCAATTTGTGTCACGGTGATATTATAATTCGGGCTGCATGCCATAAAGTTGGGAAACTATATAAATGAGTATGGAAAAAAATAAATTAAAATAGGCACTGGCCGGGGAAGACAACGTTGGGCTAGATCATCGCCATTCCCCTTCCAATTTTAATTTTTTTTTACTACTATATATGTATATATAATTTATTGCATTTGTATTGTGTGTCTACAATTTTTAACAATTTAGTTTATATAAAATGTAAAATTAAGTATTTGTAATTGAAGAAAACATAAAAAAAAAAAAAAAAAAAAAAAGAGTCTACTCACGCCCATCCTCATTTGAAAAAAAATACACTAGATTATACCTATATATTTATTTATTCCACCCATTTTTTAATTATTTAGTCCATCCAAAGTCCGAATTAATGCAAAAAAAGTCCTAAAATATTTTTTTTCCTATCTTATGGTTTTGTCAAAAAAAATCCTCAATTCTCGAACCCTTGAAATTTAACTATTTTAGTGTATATTCAACCCCTAGTTTCAGGATTGTATATTCAACCCCTAGTGCAATATTGCTTACACTGATTTCTGAAGATTAAAGGGAGTTGTTTTTTGTAGTGGACTCCCTTTATCTCCAAACAGAATTCTTCCTTGTCCATCTGAGCCAAAGCACAGGGAGAAAGAATTTGCGACGAGACCTCTGTTAGCTAACACGCTAGGGACCGATATATTATCCATACCAAGTCCAAATACACCATTAATACCACCACTGTCCAAGAAAGAACCGGTTTGAGTTTTTCCACACCTGAAACAAAAACATATATCACTACAAAAAAAAAAAAAAAAGGAAAACTAAGGAAAAAAAATCACACCTACCCTAATGTAATAGGGACGTCGACAATGTCTTGTGGAATGACATTTGTACCCAAATGCAAAACATCGTTAACCAATATCCCTGAAGTTGAGCTGTTGCTGTATATTTCTTCGTAAGAACAAGCATTGAGCCTCGACGAGCATCCTCTTTTTGGTTTCACGCACATTGTGCTATTGCATGGAACCGGCGCACTAGTCCTCGATGTACTAGGACTGTATATGTTTAGCTTCAATAGCTGTCACGTTTATATTTAATACAAAGTACCCTTGGATCAAAATTCAAAAATTATAACATACATATATATATATAATATTAAATTGTGTTGGTTTATCGCTCGATTAATCATTGATGTGTTCAAAGAGGGGTAAACAGCTTTATTGCGTTGTATTTCATTTTACATTGCATGAAATCATCCCCTATTATGTAATTGACACCGTCAACTATGGAGAAAAAATTATATACGTTTTTTAAATAGAGAAGGTCATGTTTTCATTTAAAACTTAAATTGTTTTCTTAAATTAAGTCGAACAGATTTATTCAATTGCAATATGAAAAATAGAACATTAATAATATAGGTGAAAGTTGAAATGAATTTTCAATAATATGAAAAATAAAAATAAAAATTATAGTAGTAGTAATGATGAAAGTGGAATAAATTTTCATATTATGTATATTATATTCTTATCACGTATAATACGTTTCCAAGCTAGTTTTAGAAATATATAATAATATTACTATTATAAATGTATATTTCTAAAATCATTCTAAAATTAGAAATCGCATAATTAAAAGAGTCTTTCGAAATTTAATTTAAGAAAATATACCGTGTGAGTATTAAATGATTAAAATTATTTTGCATAAATTCTTGTTAGTACGGTAGAAAACATGCACCAAATTCCCCTTTGTGTTACAAAAATACTTGCATGAAAATCTGCACCATAGTTAAATGTGTTAATTGTTAATTAACCTAATAGGTGACTTCATGCAAGATAAATTGAAACAGAGGAAGGTTCTACACAATAAAAATCGATTATGGTTTCGTCCATGCACGGTTTACTTATGGTGTTTAATTACTTACGTACCCCTTCAAAGAGAGGAAACTTTGTTACTGTATTTTCCGTACCTTTCCTGTAGACTTGTAGTATAAGCCACGTGTGCAGGTGATACAGTCACATGGTAACCAGAACAGGTCACCGCCGGTGTCAAGCGCCACAAGAAATGTCAAAGGAGGGGTACCCACACTAATAAATGAATAGTGCAAGCTGCAAATAATTATACCACATTAATAATTAACATAAATTAAAAACATTCATGGAAGATATACCACATTAATAATTAGAAGAAAGAAAGAAAGAAAGAACATACAATCCAAGTTCGTTGACATAGTAACTCTCGTTTCCACCAAAGAAAGTCATGACGGGTGGTTTTGCAGAGGCGGAGGCGAGGCGGCGGGCCTTGAAGAGATGATCGCGGTGGGCCATGGCGGTGTAGTAGTCAAACGTACCCTTCTCCGGCAACCTATCGGTGTTCAAGAATTCCTTGACAGTGTCGGAATATCTATGGTGGATATCGAACCCGAATGTCCCAAAAGTTTCGCCGCTCTTTGCATTAATCCAACACGTAAACACTATTAGCATCAACCAGTAACTCCCAATTACTGAACTCATCTTAATTGAAGACATCATCATTAACTAATTAATATAATATATACTTATGAAGTATAAACAAAGAGGTGGGTTTATATATCAATGGTGATGAGAATGCAAATCTTGTATATGTGTGTGAGTATATATATATATACACATATCATATGAAATATGAAATTGGAAGCAAAGGAAAATAATAATAATAAATAAATAATTGGTCGGTTAATTAAAGTAGCATTTTATGTATCCCTTTCGTTTGTTTCAACTCTTTTGTAGATTTGTGTAAGAGAGATTGGAATTTTTCAATTGTCAAGAATGAAGAAGCTTCGCATGAAAAGAGATGAAGGTAACTAGGGAAGGTGGTGATGAAAGAAAATAGATTGTGTAAGTTTATGGGTACTTGGACTTTTTCATTGAAGTCAAATATTTAAAATTAAATCTAGGGTTAAATACACTTTGCCCCTTTGCACTTCTGAAGCGTAGATAATGTAATACTATATCTCTTAAAACGTATCATTTGCAACATTTAACTCCTAAACATCAGTTATTTTGTATTTTAAAATTTAAAACATAATAATAATCTTAATATATTTCCATATTCAACGGATGGAATAATTGAAAACAAATTTAAACAATTCATCAAAAATATGAAACTTTTTTTTTTTTTTTTTGCCAAAGTATTTTTATTCCATTAAAATATCACTTGAAAAGTCAATACTAAAAATTTAAGATTTTAAAATTCATATTTCTTTGGTTGAGTAAAAAACATAACAATCTACTAATTATTGGATCATATAAAATTGAAAGTAACTAAAATTAAATTATTAGATTTTTTTTAATAATATATATTGTATAATAATGCATGAAAAGATATTTTAAGAAATTAATGAACTAAAATAAATTAAAATACTTAATATTACAATTAATGTTGTATTTTGTTATCAAAATTTATCTATATGGATATATCCAATTTATCTATATGAATATATCCGATTTATCTACTAAATATGTACCTAAAGCAAGATAACATTTTTAAATTTTAAAGTATTGTATATTTTAATGGATAAATATAGTAATATAATTCAATTATCCTTTTTAGTTATTAATTTCAATAAAAGATAAAATTTGAAGGTATAAAAATTAAAACTTAAAATACAAATTAAATGGTACTTAAAGTGGTAAGTGTCACAAATGATACATTAAGTGGACAAGTGTTACATATTGTGCCCTTTAGGGGTGTAAAGAGTATTTAACACTTAAATTTATAGTGGTGTGTTGTGTGATTCTCTTTTTTTTTATTTTTGGGGGGGGGGGAATATCATTTATCATGTTAAATTTATATAATTTTATGTTTATATTGGGTTTACTAATTAAAAAATCAGAACTTTATTATTTTACTATATCATTGAGGGTATATTTATAAACTAAAAAATCAAACTTGTAGAGAATATTCTACTATATCTTATGGTACGATTCATAATTAAATGATTATTATGCTAAATCTTGTGAATTTTTTTAATCTCATTCCGCACCCTTGAAATATAGTATTTTGGCACTTTGCACTATTGAAAAAATTAATAGCACTTTGCACCCTCAAAATACAATAAACATGTACGATGTACCGTGGATTATATATTTAAAACTTAATGAGTGTAATTTTAATTTTTATTGGTTTTTTTATTTCTAGGGTGGAAAATAACAAATTAAATTATTTTGTTCTACCTTCAACATAAATTCGCGCGCACAACATGCAAAAGGAAAAAAAAATCACAACAAATTACTGAAAGAAAAAAGACTATAATTTCTTACCAAAAATAAAAAAAAACTTTTTTCACTAAATTACACGAGTGATGAATCTTTTATTGTAATTAGTTAAAATATTTGCTAAAAATTTTTGGAAGAAAATATAATTTTCAAATAACTTGATAACAAAATAGCAAAATATTTTTGATCTTTTTGTTTTTTGTAAAATATTTTTTTGTGAAAAAACAAGATATAATATATTGATGAGATGTATTTTTATTTAGGGGAAATTGGCTAAACACCCCTTATTCTGGATTTATATAGGTGGGGTTCATAATTGTTAGATGAATATAGGTGTACGTCCTTTGACAAAAAAAATAATATAAATAAAACAAAATAATTAGTACATTTACATAAAACACCCTTAATTAAAAAGAAAGTAAATCTCATATATCACTCTCCCTCTCTCTCTCCAATCTCACGTATCTCTCTCTATATATCTAATCTCTCATCTCTCTCTTTCTCTCTATCTCGTGTCTCGCTCTCCATCATGTCTCTCTTTCTTTCTGTTTTTTTACCAACTCTTCTTTCTGTTTTTTTTTTTTCCGATAAGCATATTTTCGAAAAGAAATTATGATCATATTCTTACTCTCTTCCCTTTCTCGATTCCAATTTCATTTCTTTCCTTTTGAATTCTGCCATAGCTAGAATCTTCAACAAACTATAACCAAATATTTTTCGTTTGTTTTTTGGTTGTGTGACATTTTGTTGTTCTTTGTTTGGGAAAATCCTTCGCTATTTTGGAAACTTTGTTTGTTATTTGTATTTAATTTCTACTTCTTCAGTTATTACGATGGAAGGCAATTCAGGAGATTCTCGCCTCGATCTTGGATGGTGTTTCTACGGAATTGATCCACGAGATTTTGATGCACCTCTTCACCGGCATTCGAAATCCACCTTCTGCTTCGTCCCATACAATATCTCCGTCTCGGTCCCTACCATTCTCGCCGAGGGCTTTGACGGATTGCACTCAATTGATTGGGTTCATTGCGGCGATGGCGGCCATAGGATTTTCTACGGAGTTAGGACTGGCGGCAAGGGATTTAGGTGAGTACCTCGTTTTTTTTTTCTTTTGTTTTCATTTTGCATTTTGCAATTCATGTTACATATTGTTTCTCGTTTTGAATTTTTTCCTCAGTTTGATGTTTGTATTTAGAGAAGTCATACGTAATATTTTTTTGCAACTCAATAATGCAAATTCTAGATTATTTTTTTCCAGTTTGCGGTTTTTCGGCTGAATCATTGGTATTTTGTTGTTTGCAATTCAATAATACAAATTCTAATATTCAAGTTGCTATTCGCAGTTCACGAAGTCATAGGCATCATTTGCTATTTGCAGTTCACGGAGTCATATATAGGCGTCAGTTTGCTATTTGCAGTTCACGATAGACGGTGGCACGTCGGTGGTGTCGTTTTTAAAGTATGAATTTGTACAATAAATAGTATATTTTCTTTACTACTTTCTTTATTTTTTCTATTAATATTTGCAAGAGAGATGTTTGAGAATTTTTGTTTTGATAAAAAATATTTTTAGGGGATTTGATTTTGATTTGACTAAGGTTATTTTTGACACAATAAATATTATTAATTTATTAAAATATAGAGATTTTGACTTGGAGTTATACACATAAATTATAAGATAGAGGAACCTATAGCGAATTGCCCCTTTTATTTATGCACCTTGTAAATTCAAAAGGACTGATGAATATCAAAAAATGATTTGACATTTAACATTCTAAAAAAATACCACTAAAACTATTAAATTACATTCGTTAACTTTAGATTTTCATTCAGGGCGCATTATGCATGATTTACTGTATTTCAAGGGTGCAAAATATTATTAATATTTTTTTAGATTCTAAAGTGCCAAAAAGCTATATTTCAATGATGCAAAATGGGATTAAGAGGGTGTTTGGCTAAGCTTATAAGATGTTAAAAATAGCTTATAAGATGTTTTAGAGCTTATAAGCTCTTCCAAAGTGTTTGGTAAATTTAAAAAAAAATCTTAATTTTTTTTAAATAAGTTGTTGGAGACCAAATAAGATCTTTTTAAATAAGTACATCTACCCCACCTTTTTATTTAAGATCTTGTAATGAGTAAAAATAGAAAATAAGTTCATTATCCAAACACTCTATAAATTAATCCTAAAAATAAGATATAACAGCTTATCAGCTCTAAAAAACATCTTATCAGATATAAGAGCTTATCAGCTGTTTAAAATTAGTTTAGCCAAACAGTACCCTCTAAACCCTTATATAATTTACCCACAAAATTATTGTTGTAAATTATAATTATTTCCTGTAAGTTGGTCGTCGAGGAAAAATTCTTGCTAAAAATCTTAAGCTGGGTTTCTACGTAATTAATCACATATTACGTGTCATGGATAAGCATTGTTTGGCAGTATATACCATTAATTTTAAATTTAGTATTAAATATAAATTTGCTTGTAAAAAATATTAATTAACTTAATATAATATAAATTATTACAATATGTAATAGAATTTTGTTGTAGTTATGAAGTTTCCTATTGAACTTACAACTTAACAACCAGTTTACGCTATCTTCGGTCGACTTCTTCATCTGTTGTCGAGGGAGATACATTCTCTAAAAAATACTAATAACTTAATCCTTAACTACAATTGTTAATTAGTAATAACTATTATTATAATTCTCATAGAATAATTAATATTAATAATTGATATCCAACTATAACTAGGAATTTAATTCATCAAATCACAAATATCATTTGCTTAGTTCCTGAATAGAAGTTGACGTAAGTATCATGCATTTTCCGGTTGATGTTCGAGCTCACAAATTGCTATTTTTGATTTTTTTTAATAATCTTGCTAATTGCCAAACTAATATAGTAATATTTAAGATAACAATTGTTGACTTTAACAAAGTAAACTGGTCTACAACTACAAGATGAACTTTTTCTTATTTTTATTTTTAAATTTTATTTTTGTGATCATCGAACAGCCTCAAGGTATGATAAGTATGGACAAATGTGCCCGCATGGGTGTAGCTAGACCTGACCACGGTTTGGTTCGGTTCCGGTTCCGGCTCTGACTTTGGAGGAACCGGAACCGAATCAAAAAAACCCGATTCCTTGCGGTTCGGTTCCCGGTTAGAACCGGTAGAACCGTCGGTTCTTAATAATAATTTTTTTTTTTTACTTTATACATATATATATATATATATATATA